TTAAACCAAGCGCTGCCCTCCATCATAGAGTTTAATCCTATGAGGAACTGAGCTCCTCTGGATAGGTGCTAAGGGCCCTCAGCTCCCATTGAAGTTTATATTCTCCAGAGGTGCTCAGCTCCTCTCAGGATCAGATCCTTATAGAGGTGGTGTGGAAATATCAGAATCTGTAGTAATCTAAGCAGTGCTTGCTCCTCTTGAACGTCTTGCTGGGTGCAAATGCTCTGAGCTGCTCAATGAGATACCGCTTTGTACCACTGCATACAAATGCCACGTGGACCCATGTGCTGCTGCAGGACTCGGCAAGAGGAAAAGGAACTTTTCTGGACAGCTGCCAAGTGGAAGAAAAGCATCTACACACACACACACGCACAGCTTGTGGTTTTTGTAAGTGCAACTTTCATTTTATAATGACTTTGTTCTTGATCAGATCATACACACACTTACGAACAGCAGTCTCCCTTAATCTATTAACCCCTGGAGCACCACAGCTGATGCACATTCTGTCTCCACTAATTGTTGTGGAATACCTACTGTGCTTCATGGAAATGTTTAAGGAATCTGAGATGTATGGCATGTTGCCTTTGTTGTTTGGTTGACCACTCACTGACACTCATGGAGCAGTGAAGAGATTAATAATGAGTCCAAATCCTGTCCACACACCAACACAAACAGAGGTGTAATGAATGTTGTTAATGGTTTTTCATTTCAGCAACATGTCATCTGCAAGCAGACATTGTTTGTAAATTACACTAGTACTGAATTCTCTGCAAGTACTTACTCACTCCTTAGTCTGGCAACATTTCCACTGAAGTGAAGTCCTAGTGTAAACAGAATAAGCACTCCATTATTTGGCCAAATGTTTAGAGGTAGAGCTTTTTGAAAATGGTTAGTTTGCCGCTGGCTGGAGTCTTAGTAAAAGCGGTTAGGACACAATGCATTTTAAAATGATCTGCATTACAGTCTTTTTTAATTTGTTGTTGTTGTTAAAAATAAAAATGGAGGCTAAGTTAGAAGTGAATCTGATCTCAGGGAGACTGAACAGAAATCTGTGACATTCCCAAAGAGGCAAAAATATAAACAACCCCCCCTGTAATTCTAGACCTGGGGGAATACATTTCTTCGATCTTATAATGAGAGAGCTGAAGGACAAATGCCAAGAAAAATGAAATAGGAGCCTGTACCTTTAAACACAACCACATTACAGCATTGTGACTATTTGTTTAACACACACACAGAAGACCTTATGCTTTGCCAATACTATTCTCAACTGCTGACTTCTACTGAATAGATGCTGGAATTCCTGAAAGACTACAGCACCAACATAATGTTCCAATCTCCCTTTCTATTCGCCAGTGCTAATAGCAAGGAGGAACTTTATTGCTGAGCAGGGCAATTTCTGTTCCTTTTTCACTTTTTTTTTAGGCCCAAGTTAATTACCAAGACTATGAGAATAAAAAAATGAGACCCATTCTCCCCATCAGTGTATCTGAATCCTATCATGTGAGTTGCCAATTGGTTTTCTAATCCTCACACTCAATATCTGCTGTTAATTTGCTCGCTATTTCAAGAACTTGAAGACTGTCAGCAAAATCCACGATGCATTACAAAACTTATAATTGGAAAAAAATCTGATGCTTTTTTGACAGGGTAAACACAAAGTATTAAAGCACTGATCAGAACAAGGAAGCTGTAACAACTCAATAGCCATTTATACTAAAATATAATTGTAAATGCAGTGGAGAAATAAACATGCTCCGTTTCAACTCTTGTTACTGAAATATGTGCAAAATTAGGCCAAATGATGGTGTGAATCCAGCAATTTTACACCAGATTGAAACACACACGCACGAAAAATACTGTATTTTAAAGGAGATGACTGAACTGTGCGGTGTTGTTTTTCAACCTCCCTTGGCCTTTTCAAGGTCACATTATCTATGCCAATTAAAATTTTGCTTCTGAAAAAAAAAAATTAAGGCACTTCCTCCAGAGTTACTAAAAAAAGCAAATGAAAGCCTTTGCGTCTCAGAGGTGAGCTATAGTGAGCTGTTTGTTCCTGACCTCTGGATCACCCTATAGATCAAATTCCTGGACACAGGAAAAACCCACTAACCGTTCATTAAAAGCAACTGGGAGGCCAGCTTTGTGTTTCTGTTCTTAAGACCTGACCAAGCTACAACTTGACAAAGGTGCAGGATATTGCTGAACAATGCAGCTGTTCCTGTTGGGAGGGGAAAGGATTTTCCCAGCTCAGATGCTGGAGATCCACAAAAAAACAGATTTACACGCTGCACTCTTTACTGGACACCTCAGTGTCTGAGGCCTATGACTGTGAAATTAAAGAGTTTTAAGAGTGAAATCATTAAATATCAATTATAAAGTTCAAAGAGATTTATTTATTTATTTTGTACTGGCTAGCTCAGGGGTTCTCAAACTGGGGGTCGGGACCCTTCAGGGCGTCACAAGGTTATTACATTGGGGGGGGGTCACAAGCTGTCAGCCTCCACCCCAAATCCTGCCTTGCCTCCAGCATTTATAATGGTGTTAAATATATAAAAAAGTGTTTTTAATGTATAAGGGGGGTTGCACTCAGAGGCTTGCTGTGTGAAAGGGGTCACCAGTACAAAAGTCTGAGAACCCCATGGCTAGCTATTAAGACTAACTCATACTCCTGAAACAGGTAATATTCCTGTTGAAATTGTTAGGAGTTTTGCCTGCATAAGGAGCTATACAATCAGATATTTCTCCACTAACTAAACCAGGTCGAGAGGGCAAAGACAGTATGAAGTGAAAGGAGACAGATTGTAGAAGTAGATTGTTATCTACAAACTTAATGGAAAATCTTCCCCCATGTTATTTCTTCAAGGTGCATCAACCAGCCTCCTAGTTAGGGTGTGAAAACCGCAGTTACATTCCCAGCCTCTGAAAGTAGGAGTTCAGCGAGCAACTTTAGCATGTCCCACCCTTACTCAGGAGGAGTCTTTCACTTTTCAGGGGCTGGTGCTCCATTTTCAACATCTCTGCAGCTAATGCCATTTAATACTCCCAGACCTATCAGGCTACATTCAAATTTTCTGCTACCTCAAAGACTGTTGCTTTGCTCCACTGCACTCTCCAATTGCAAATACACATGAATGCTCCTGTGTGTTGTAAGTTATTTTCTACATACAATTTCTACTAAATTGTAAGGTAGGAGGCACTACTTGAATTCTCTTAGGTCTTTAGAAAGCTTTCAGATGTACCAGGAGTAATAACATGTAATGAATATGGACTGATATTCCTTTCCCATAGCTGCACTGAGTTGGCAATTTACATTTTCTAAATAGATAGATGAGTTATAGCCAGTTTTCCCAGTCTGATGGCAATTACTTCTTAGAAACCTCTGATGGGCTGAAACCCTCAGAATTGCAGATGTTATTCTTAGTTTGATTCCTCTTCTTAAATTAAAACCACTAGCTGTATCAGCAAACATGGATTTTTCCCTCTGAAAATATCATCTAAAATGCATATAAATTGAACTTGCCAATTTAGCTCAATTTAGGATTGGAGTGTCTTTTGGTTTAATGCACTTGTGTTCCACCTCTGAGACAGAATTGTGTATGTGTGTGTATTTTTATATATGTAGATAAAAACCCTAACTGAGGTAAGCAGACATATAAAGAACCCCAGCGGTTTCCTCCTTTTGGGGTAATCTGTATTTGAAGATTTATGATAGTAGCTCATGGTAAGTATGGAGGGTGGGGGTAATGCGGTATACCAGAAGAGCACAAAAGCTAAAAAAAAGTCTTTTCCACTTGTTATGGAGCAGTCTCCTCTCTGTAAAATTTTGAACAACAGACTTTGTGCATCCGATGCACCTTTTCCCTCCTCTGAAGGAGCCACGCAAAATGCAGACATCTAATTGGATTTCATGCTTTCCCAGTAGTTCACACAAGAGAAGGGATGAAAGCTGCCATTTCAGCATCAGCAGTCAGCATCCTCCAAACCAAGATAAGTAGACTCCCTAACCTAAAGAGCTACATGAATTTAAAATAGTTGTCTCATCTCAATTTCCCCATTCCCACTTGCCCTACACACATATTTACCACAATTCATCACAGTTTGACACAAATTACAGACTTTGTTGGACAGAGATTAGAGAAGTGTCCTAGGATGGATGGAGCTCAGTTTTCCTTTCTGGCAATGTATCCATTGTCATCCATGCACAAAGAAATCCCAGGATCAATGGGCTAAGGAGTCAGGTCATTATGAAATAAAATTAAGTGTTCAATGGCTTGTGCTGCATGCAGAATGTCATCCATACCACTCAGAGCCTCTTGTTAGGAGAACCTTTGTTCCTTGATCAGTTGTCCCTTAATATTTCATAATAAACTTCCTATCTTCACACGTACAATATGCAAAATTTAAAGACTTAAAAGTACGCCATGGGTCACCATTATGAGTTCACGAAACAAAGGCACAAATCAGTACATCTATTCACATGTGCTGGAAGTGTATCATAGAGTCCTCTATTGTAAAACAGCAAGTCACATACTGACCTAAGTTTTTACAAGTGTAAATGACTACACAACACACAAGGCAGTGGAGACTCAGGTTGTAGGGGCTGAATTCTGCCCTCGCTGGCACCTATGCTAGCTCACTGAATTAATGGGAACTACATGGATACAGAGAAGGGCAGAATTTGTCCACAAATTTCCACTAATCAAACAACAGGCAGAATAGATATAGATCACAACTCTTCTTTTCTTGCTCTACTCACTCACTCACTCACACAAACAAATAATTATGTTTATCTTGATGCATAAAATCTTTACCACTACAATTAAAACAACACTGTCTGTGTTTTCATAGCTGTTCACAATGCATGGTTTACTTAAAGATACAGTACGGTTCTGCACAGCAGCACAACAAAACAGGACTCATTGCATTTTCAGTGGCAGTAACTCTTACTGTGGTTGAAAAAACAAATATAAACACAGGAAGTTTAAATGGAGACTTACCATGGGGTACCGTATATTCTGAATCCTTTAACTGTTACCTCTGAATCTTGCAAGTAAATACTGTTTGTCAGGAGTGACTGAACATTGTCAAAGTCCTCTGGTTTCAATTTGGACACAGAGGGAAAGCGGTAGTAATCCTGTTTAACAAGGTCTGCCATGAATTCCTTATCAAATGTCAGTTCATGATTCCCAGCAATCACTATTTTATATTCATATGGCAGGCTTCCTGAAATAACAAAAAGAGCACTTAATTAGCACATTTGCTTCCCACACCAGCAGAGCCAGCAAAATAAGTAGACAGCTAACACTGACAGAATGAAATACACAGGATCTGTGTGTATCTCCATGGGCAGCGAACATTATTAATGCTGTTGCTTTTTCTTTGAATGAAATTTTGTTAAAATATAAAAGTAATATCACACAAAGAAATGTCATAACCAAAGGCATGTTCTGCAAAATGAAACAAAACAAGCTGGCAGGCATGCAGACAGATCCTGAGCTGGTGTAAATCAGCTCAGCTCCAAAGGCTTGAATGGAGATACAACAGCTCTGAAGATCTGGCATACTGTCTGTTAGTACATGGGATGCGCTGGAAGTCAGCAGTCCTGGGTTCCAGTCTAGTATGCAGTGAGCATAATGAATGAATGTTTGTAAAGTGCTCAAAGGAAAGGCTCTATACTGTGTATATATTAGGTATGATTACTTATCAAAGGTATATTTTACAAGAGTTTAAGGATGCCGAAATACCCATTGAGCAATTTTATTCCCATACTCTACCCTGTTCTACACAGCGCCTAATTGAGATCAGCACTCCATCTTGAGATAGATGCTGTATAAGCATATGGTAAGAGACAGTCATTACCCAGAAGGGCTTACAAGCTAAATGGACAAGACAGATAAGGAGAAAGGAACTGAGGCACAGAGAGCCTATCTGTAAAATGGGGATAATAGTATTTCCTAAGGGCCTAATCCAAAACTCACTGAAGTCAATGGGACTGGCCTATAGGGACAGATTTTCAAGGGCTCAGTACCCCAGTTGGTGCCAGATTTCAAACAAACAAACAAACGCAAAAAAATGTTGAAAATAGTCATTTATTTCAGTGCCTTAACAAAAGCTGAGTTCTTTTCAAAAAATCTGAACCAAAGTGGCTTGCCAAAAATCACACAGAAAACTGTCAGAGCTTCGAATAGGCCTTTGATCTCCTCAGTCCAAATGCAGTGCATTAACCACAAGCCATCTTTCTTCTCTTATAGAAACTCATTTAGTTTAGTGCATGTTCCTAATGATCACTAAGAAGGGAGTGATTTCACAAAGGTGATCGGTTCCTTTACAAATACCATGGATTAGATAGACCAATAGATAGCCACCTCTTCTTACTGTTCTTGCCCTACTTGGTTGTACAAACTGTGAAGGAAAGACTAATATTCTATACTTATGAATACTATTCTAATAAGGACATTACAGCCCCAATTCTTTAGTCTTTGCACTCCTGAAACTCGCCCTGAAGGAATACAGGATTGGGCTCTACGTTTTCTTGCCAGCACTATCCCCCATAAACACACACAACTTTCCTATTTCAAAATTTGATGTGCAAATAAAATCAAAAAGCTTACTTGAAAAAATAATTAAAGAAATGTTTGTGATAGTCAGACTAACTACCCCACTGGGGCTTATGGGGAAAGAGTGAGAATTCTCTCCCTTTCAATATTTATGGCAAGGAAATGGGAGTTCAGCAGGATTTTTAAGCGAACATTTCCTGATCAAAATTCATTAACTCTGGGTAGAAAAATAAAAAGCCATAAACCCCCCCAGAAACACTAGACATCTTCATAGATTCCTAATGTCTGAACAAAATGCAGATCATACATATTAATAACTCTCTGTGGTGCTGCATTAGACTAAAAGCTGGAGGAAATGCTACTGGGCATTTGTCACTCCTCTGCAGTTTATGCCCCATTCCCTCCTCCCTCTTTCCCATCTCTGTCACATGCTGCTCTGCAATTCATTTTATTTAAAAACTAGGACTGATAGGTACCTGCTCTCTGTGACTCCTGGCCACAAGACAAAATTGCTATTTTCTTCTCTCTCAGGAAACAGAAACGATACCACTGGCATGAAATTTGATAACTTGTCATAACTATCAATCCCCACAAACAAAGCTAGCTTTGGTGAAATTCTTAAGAGAAGCTGTATGGCGACGTTAAAACCAGGTTTCTGCCAAGTATCAACATTTGCCAACTTCAGTGGAGAAAACTTCCAGCCACATTCTGGATAAATGACCAGGTTTTACGTTTTCCCATTTAGTTTAATGAGATACTTCAAAATTAGCATACCACTGAGCTCATGCCCAATGAAAAACTGTACATTTTACCTTCAGACAATTTTTTCTTGAGCCAAACATCCCAAGCTGAAGAGTTCACTTTGGAGTCATGCCGAACACAGCAGACAAACTGCAACTGAGTCACTGTTATTTGAGTTTACAAATGGAATGACATACATGTATATGAGCCCAAAAGAACGAGGGGAAACTAACAACGGGCTTGATCCTGTAGTTAATGGCAAAGTCACAAACTAATGACTGGAAGGGACATGTTCGATCATGGAGTCCTGTCCCCTGCTGTCACAAGTAACCCCGTCATATAATCCCTTTCTTAAATGTATCAAGCTCCAACTTTAATCTAGTTAGGTTGTTTGCCCCTGCTACTACTGGGAGATTGTTCCAGAACCTTGCTCCTGTGATGGTCAGAACCTTCTTCTAATTTCCAGCATGAATTTGTTCATGCCCATTGTGCCAACACTGTCCTTTAAAAAGCACTTCTCGCTCCCTGGTGTTTACCACTTCCCATCCCCAATGTAGATATAGATAGCAATCATAGCCCTGCTCAGTCTTCATTTTGCATACTTATTTTTTATGCAGTGCTTTTCATCAGTAGATCACAAAGTGCTTCACAATCTTTAATGTATTTATCCTCATAACACACCTTTGAGGGAGAGAAGTAGTATTATCCCCATTTTACAGATGGGGAACTGAACCACAGAGAGGCTAAGGTTTGAATCTACAAAGGTAGTAGGTGCCTAGCCCCCCCAGATTCAGGTGCCTAAGTCCCATTTTTAGGCTCCACCGCGATCCACAAAACTCCTGCTCAGGTGCCATCTAACTTGGCACCTAAACTCACTCAGCTCCTACATTTTTGCAGTAGAAGTTCCCTAGGCACCTATGTTTCTGCCTCTGGGCATTTGTGATATATGTACCTCTTGATCCAACTGGCAGAGGGCACAGGTGTGCACAGAGTTTTAGAGGGATTCCCTGGGTCAGTTATATGCAAAATAATTCAACAAAGGCATATGAAGTCTCTACTGAGACCCAGTAACACACTGGTTGGCGTAACCACTGCAACATGAATATAAGGATAATTTTAAAGGAGGTACTTGCCTACACTGGAAAATAAGTTCTAAAGGTATGAAAGTTATAGCAGGTCACCAGAAGGTGAAAAACAAAACATGTTCCTTTCCGATAAGACGTTTATCTGTCTGGTTATATGCAAACTGAGTATTGTATACCTCACAATAGATACCTATTTACATACTAAGCCCCCCAGCTAATCACCATTGAGAAACTGACAAGAGATTGCTAAAGTTATAGGAAGGAACACACAGCAGGACAATGTCTGGTTTATGAACAAAGATCAAAGGACCGTTTTTCTATATCTAGGGTTGCAAAGAGACACCCTGATATCTTTCACTTAGGAAGTAAGCTGACAGTGGGCTTGCTTTGCGAGTGGAAGATCACAGCCAACCCTGGCTGTAATAGGCTGGAAGGATTTTGGGTGAGCTTTTGCTCTTATGACAGAACAGTGTCCTATTAGTTAAGTTTAGGCTCTAGAACACATTATGATTTCATTTCATATGTAACCCTTCGTTGCCAGTATTTCTGCTTGCTATCAATTGAATCCTCATTCTTTGTTAAATAAACTTCTACTTTCTTTCTCTAAAAACAAATCTTGGTGCTTTGTGTTAAGCAGAACTATGTTCTGTACTGTAACTGGTAAGCTGTGGTGTACTGTTCCTTTGTGAACAGAGGACCTAGGAATTTTGTGACCATCCAGTGGATCAGGAACTGGGAGACGCTTGGAGCGCTTGGGGATTGAAGTGTGCCTACAGCTAACCTGTAAAGAGAGAATGGGGCCTGTGGTGGCCTAGAGGGAAGTGCTTGTGTTGCCAGAGGCTGGTGGAGTTGGGGAGCTTACCCACAGTAAGCACAGAAAGGCTTCCTCACACTAAGAGCAAGTACAAGTTGGGTGCGTCACAACTCTGAATATCCCCAGAAAGCATCACAGCATGCACACTGTTATTTCACTCTAGGTGACTGGACACCGATCTCCTGCCTCAACCCCAGTGCAATCCATGAACTGCGGGAAGGTAGGCGTTCCTCTTCTTAACTTGCCTGTGAAGCCTGATCCAGGAGGCACTTTCAGAGGTTGCCTAACTCCATGCAAAATACGATGAGGAGAAGCTCCCTTTAGCCCAGTTGTTAGGATACTCAACCAGGATGTAGGAGACTAGTAGTTCAAGTATTCGCTCTCCCTGATGAGAAGGGATCTGAACAGGGATCTGTCAGGTCAGTGCCCTAAGCCCTTGGCTACAGTCTCATTCTCCGTAGCCCAATTATTTAATTAAAGAGGAACAACTTCAAGAGGAGAGATTGAGGGAACTGACCTCAGTATACTCCTTACGCCCAGTCTGTTTTGTGCGAAGGTAAGCTGCCTCTGAGAAAGCCTTAAACCGCAGAGTGCCTGTCTTCTCCCGGGTTTAAGGATTTCTAGCAGAGATAGGCACCTATCTCCATGAGAGGGGCAGGGCTTAGCACACATCCTTCTCATCGGCATCTCCATTGGCTGGTTTAGGTGGCTCCTCCCCTCACTGTGCTGGCTTTGTGGATTACATTCTAAGGCGCCTATTTCTTCCCAGGCATTGTGTAGGGTGCTTAGGCACCTAACTTAGGCATCGTGTATTGCAGTGTTGTTCCTGTGATTTTCTAGTGCTCCAAAGTCAAGGATTGTGACACTGAACATCCCAATGCCTAAGTGTAGTATACTAAGACAGTACTGTGATAGCATGGACACTGAAATGTACATCCACATCTGGCAGTGAAGCAAGCATGCCATGATAGATTGTATAGCATACCCTCAAGATGTTAGCTTGATTAGTAATCAGTTATGGGCACG